ACTGTTCTCTATCGGTAAAATTTCATTTGTTAAATATTGTAGTTAAAAAAGTACATACACATATATATGTACACATGTATGTATGTCATGTATTTAATTTTTTTAAAACATTTGTATGTATATAATTAACCTAAATCATTTGTATATTTCTAAAAAAGTGTTATTTAGACAAACAGACAGTTCGTTCATCAACAAGTTTCATTTGAGCTTAAATGTTTATTTATTTTATGCAGGAAAATGTTGTGTTTAGGTGAGTAAAAGTCTAAAAAAAAAAAAAACATTTTCTATTTTGTTTTGTAAATATCTAAACATGATGGTGCTTTTTCATCTAGTCTGTTTGATGATTAGACATTTATACATGCATACATGTACACACATACGAGGTGTGTTCAAAAAGTATCGCGAATTTTGAATTTTCGCGGGTTACGTATAATCGAATTTCGATTTTTTTGTGGCGTTATGTTGGTACTAATGTCTGTCACTTATGCCGACAAGCTCGGCCATTTTGAATGTTCACTTAATTGTTGACAGCTGCTTTGCTTGCACGTGTTTTGGATGGTCTTCGATTTTTACCTATTCAAAAAAATGGATCAAAGAACCTGTGAAAAACGAAATTAAGTGCGCGGTTGCATTCCGAATGTTGACTGTGGCATACGGAGAAGCTACCTTGGACCGAAGCAACGTTTATCGGTGGTACAAAATGTTCTCAGAAGGCCGAGAAGATGTGAACGGCGAAGAGTGTGCCGGACGCCCGAGCACTTCAACAAGAGACGAAAAAATTAATTGCATGGTCGTGGGGCATCATGAGTTCTTGCCACAGGGTAGAACGGTCAATAAGGAATATTACCTGCAAGTTATGCGCAATTTGCGCGAAGCAATCCGCCAGAAACGCTCGGATTTGCGGAAGAACAAAAATTGGCTTTTGCACCACGATAACGCCCCTGCTCACACATCGTTGCTTGTACGCGCCTTGTTGGCCAAAAACAACACAATAATGATTCCGCAGCCACCGTATTCCCAAGATCTAGCCCCCTGTCACTTTTTCTTGAAGAGGCTCGTGAAAGGACGACGTTACGCTACGATTGACGAGATAAAGACGGCATCGAAGGAGGAGCTGAACAAGATAAAAAAATGATTTTTTGAAGTGCTGCGAAGATTGGAAAAACCATAGGCACAAGTGCATAATATCTCATGGGGATTACTTTGAAATAGATATTCATTGGCGATATCTTTTGAACACACCTCGTATATACCTTATTGGCTTTTCAAAGCTGTATGCTATATATGTGTATGTGTGTATGGAATGCATATTCAAATATGCCATAAGTTACTGAAATTTAAGAATTAAAATACCAACGTCATCGCACATTGTGTTTACTTAAGGTACTTTTTATACTCGAAACTGAAACTGAGAAGTGTTTTTTTAATGTGGTTTTTAAGAAGAACTAAAAGAATCTAGCTTTTTTATAAAGATAAGGCATGTGACCGTCGCGACTGACTCGAATAAATTCCAGTCAAGAGGCGAGAGTAGCAATTTTTGACCACTTTTTGTAGCAACTGGGTCTGCATGTCAGCTTTAAGGCACCGAAAGTGATCTTCCAAGGTGTCATACGTTTCGAGCATTTCACATAAGTCCACAAAAAATAGTTTGCACCAACTTGGAGGCCAAACCAAAGGCTCGCGACGTGTGGTAATGGACTCCTTCCTCTTCTTGGAACCAATGGATGACCACCTTGACATCCTCCAACTCAGGCAAGAAAAAGTCATTAATCTCCATGGCAGTCTCCATTGACTATACAACATTATGACCGTCTTAATTTGAAGAAAAATATGTACCAGTGAGTCCCTCTGCCCATAGAGCACACCAAACGGTGTTTTTTTTTTTGAGGATATCACGGTGTCCCAACAAAGGCTTGTGTACTATCATCACTCCAAAAGCGGCAATTCCATTTATTAACGTAACCATTCAACTGACAGTGAGCTTCATCGCTGAATAAAATTTTCTTGTGAAAACCGGTAACGATGGCAACTTTTTTCTTTTTAGGTCCATTCACCGAATATGTGACGCGTTTGATGGTCATTCGGTTACCGTTCTTGCCCTGATTGGATTTTGTAAGCCCTTAAACCAAGCACTCTGCCCAAAAGCTTCCAGAAAGTCAATGGGCACAGGGACTTTTTCGATGCTCTGCTGCACAGCAACACTAGCGTCTTCGATGCGTTTAAGTAAACGTGGTGGGAAACCGATACATGGTTGCTCGATTTGTCGCCTCTGTTTAGTCATTGTGTCGACCGGATATCCGACGCATCGCTCGAACCGAACCCGATTTTCAAGCGTTGTTCCGACGTAAATCTGTTCAACGTAAAATCAAATACCACGCTAATGGTCGAATTGAAGAAAGCAATTGATGAAAAACGTCCGATTTTGGCCAATCGCAAAGGAGTTCTTTATGTTGCAAAACCGACCCTGGCCAAACTGAAGGAGATGAATTGGAAATCATGCCGCATCCCCCATATTCACCCGACATTGCACCGTCTGATTATCATTTGCTTCGATCGCTGCAAAACAATTTGAATGGAAAAAAATTTAAAAATGTGGAAGACGTCAAAAACCACCTTGACACCTTTTTCAACGAGAAACCGCGCGATTTCTACGAATCAGGCGTCCGTAAATTGGTTGAACGTTGGGATTGGATTGCCGAACATGATGGCGAATACATAATTGATTAATAAAAGCGCTTTCTTCAAATTAATTTCAATTTTAGTTTGCACTTGAAATCGGGCACGAACTTATGCACTCATCCAATATATAGGCATACATATATATATGTGTATATATTTTATCGCTTTGAAAGCAGGTGAAACGATTTTCCGCCGAGCCCCTCCTACTATTTGTCGTATGCGTCTTGATGTTTGTCCAATAAATGGAGGGACCTACACCTTTTTCTAAGCCGCCTCCGAACGGACGAGGGATTTTTACGAGTGGAGCTTTTAATTCATGTCCGAAATACACTCGGAAGGGTGGAAATTCCCTGCCGAGGAGCGCCTGCATTTAGAAATGGAACTCGGTCAGTGCGCACTCGGCCATTGCGGTCATCAGAAAAAGTATTGAACCATTGAAAACTACACGTCTAAAAAAAAAACACCCTTTATATTTATCTTTTAGCACTTTTATAACTAAAAAAAAGTAAATTTCGTTCTAATAAATTGTGCAAACCCTGGAAGCGGACTAATAATTTCCAAAAATGTATAGAACGCGTTGTGCCAAAAAGAAATTGGTCAAGTCGTTAGCAGCGAGCAAATTTAGAATAAACAATAAAATCGATTTTAATAATAGAGAAAGGTTCATTGAACTTTTACATAGAAGCCACAGGCGATATAAAAGAAATTTGAAGTGGTAAAATATGCCATGAAAGATCATCATCAAGCAGCTCGTTAACCATGTGCAGAGTCATCTGTGTAAGCAAATGTTTTGTATTTGTATATACATATGTACAAACAGACTCATATATAGAATTTTTAACCAAAAACGTTTTAATTCCAGCGCTCTTACATTTATGTACATACATACATACATACATAAGTAAATATGCATATGTAAATTTCGAATGAAAGTGCTGGATCAGTGAATTTGCATGAAATTAAAATTTTAGCATATCAAATTCTTAAGAAATTTTTTCTCACTACATGCTCACATTCATATCTAGCTTACGTAACTATGCGGACTGTACGAGTATGTAAATATATACATATTTATAGATATATTCGTGGCAATAATGGTGGTTTGAACTCTAGTAAATTAATATGCCCAAAACCGTTAAATAAATACACATGTAAACATACATACGTATGTATGAGCTAAGGCAAGAAATAATAATTTGGGATAGAAGGTGAAAGAGTATGGAAGAGGAGTGTGAAAGAGAGAGAGGAGTGGAATAAGGGAGAAAAGGAGAGAGAAGGGGGAAAAAAGAAAGAGAGAGAAGATTAGAGAGAGAGAGAGTAATAGAGAGAGAATAATGAGAGAGAGAATAATAGAGAGAGAGAGAGAGAGAGAGAGAAGGAGAGAGAGAGCAGGAGAGAGAGAGAGAAGGAGAGAGAGAGCAGGAGACAGAGGGAGAGGAGAGATATAGAAGGAGAGAGAGAGAGAAAGAGAGCGAGAGAAGGAGAGAGAGAGATAGAACGCGAGAGAGCGAGATAGAAGGAGAGAGAGAGCGATAGAGAGCGAGAGAGAGAGAGAAAGCGAGAGAGAGAAGGGGAGAGAGAGAGAGATGGAGAGAAGGGGAGAGAGAGGAGAAAAAGAGGGAGAAGGAAAGAGAGAGAGAGGAGTGAAAGAGGGAGAAGGAGAGATAGAGAGAAAAGAAAGAGGAAGAAGGAAAGAAAGAGAGAGGAGAGAAAGAAGGAGAAGGAGAAAGAAAGAAAGAGGGAGAGCGTCAAGAGAGGGAGAGAATGAGAGAGATAGAGAGCGAGAGAGCTGGATAGAGAGAAAAAAGAGAGAGAGAGAAGGATTGAGAGAAAAAAAGAGAGAGAGAGAAGGATTGAGAGAAAAAAAAGAGAGAGATAAAAAAAGAGAGAAGGGATGAGAGAGAGAATATAATGATAGAATATAACTTTCGAAAACCACAAAAAACATTTTTCTGCGTAATGGATATAGATGTACATATCTCTTTCCCGAATATAGCCGAGTCAACTAAAGCACGTTTCTTCCCTTAACATGCCACACGTGTAATTATCAATCGCTGCGCCCGATCCCCGCCATTTCTCATCGTACCAGCACTTTTCCGCCGTAGCGGCGGTACATATGGAGTTGGAAATGCCATTCCATTTCTTGTGCTACAGACAACCATAATCCAGGCTCCGGCGAAGGATATAAACTTATACTCTTTAATGTTTTGTCATGTAGGCTAAATTTTCGAGCGCGAGTTATTTTTTATTGTGGCAGGTCTTATGTGTTCTAAAAGATATTATTAATATTCTGAAAGACCATTAAACTTTTCATAAATTTACATTTTTTTTTTTATTTTCTGAAATACTTATGGGGTTTTCTGCAATACAAGAGTGTAACCAAAGCAATACAAATAGGCCGTTATACGAACGACAGACCTCGACTACTTATAACTAGTTAAATCAAAACAGAATACAAAACAGTTTAACGTCTGAGCCTTTCCGGCTTCAGTATACTCAAAAGAGCGTAAGCTTCCTTTCTTTTACAAATAAAATTCGATTTTAATAGCAAAAATATATAAATATAGGCGTGTTTACATATAAATTTTGCAACTTTACTCCATATCTTCACTGGCTAATTCATAAAAACTGCTCAAGGCTTGCTTAGTCTCCGACGATTCAGTACTAACAAAACAAAGTCCCAAATCCTTTTCGACAACTACATTTACCCAAAAATGTTGACGTTGATTTTGAATAACTCTTCTCTTAACTTCCTTAATCCATTTGTTGTAGTCATTAAATGAGCTAAAATCATAGCACTGCTTACGGTAAATGGATAGTGCTTCTTCTAATTTTTTATAGTTCAAGCTCTCCTTGGATTCAAACAATAATTCGGAAATAACATTACGCATCTGTTCTGCATAAATTTGAAATTTCGCATCACGCTCCGTGCGATTGGCTATAGTCAGAACATTGTGTTGCACAAGTTGACGAAAATCATCAGCAGGTGTCTCCACACTTACTCTCTCAATGCTCAATGCAGAGTCATTGGTGGTAGAAGAAGATTTTGTGGTACTATCGCTATACTCAGATTTGACTTTACTTGCATCGCTTGGTTTTTCTACTACTTTGTTTTCTTCTAAGGGAAATAATGATTTGATCACCTTTGCTGCACGCTTTGCGTGCTTTTCTCGTAATTCTGGTACTTTCCAGAATATTTCTACAAAATTTTTACCATCTAACATATCAGCGAACTGCTCATCGTCTTCGCTTGCATTTAATATAATTTTTGTTTCCAAAACGTCCATTAGATTCTGTTCATATATGTGCGGCAAAGACTCGAAGGGTAAGAGATCCGGTAGGTACGTATCACGTGCAGCATCAGATTCCTTCTGATTTATTGATAAATCCATGGAATCAATCAGATCATCAATAGCGTCAATTTGGTCTTTAGAGCAATCCGTTTTTGGTGTACGCAGACGTGGAAATTGGAAGTAATGATACTGTGAATGATATGCAATTTCGACCATTGTCAGTGAGGCAGGGCTATCTGGATGCAGCTGTGAATAAAATACGTATGTAGGCATATTATAATTAATTATTATTGTATATGACTTTTCAATTATATTACCTGATTTGGTAATAAGACTACCATCTTGGGATTATTGAATTTTGCGCTAAATACCTTGCAGCAGAGCATTGCCATATTTGTGTTAGTCATAGCGCGCACCAATGCATCTAATTTTTGCGCTGACACATTCATGCCTTTTTGATGCACAATCCAATATAACGAATCACCACAAAAATACTCTTCAGGAATGGAATTGCGTTTCATAAATCCAACAAATTTCAAGCCTGGTTCGTAACGTTCCTTAACATTTTTTAATGATTCATCGTATGGTATTGGTGTGGAGCCCAGCATATAGCCTTCAATAAGATCTGTCTCACTCGGGTCAATTTCTGAGCCACGTAGAAAATATTTTATTTCTCGTTGAACCAAATCTTGATTCTCACACCAGCATTTTTTCAATTTAACATTGCTCTCATCTTTCATGTAAATTACTCCTGATATACGAATGTTGATTTCAGAGCCGATAGTTAAATTACTATTCCAAACCCATGGGCGCTTATTAATGATTTTGAAAATACACCTTTTAGCTTCTTCAAAATTATAAAGTTTTGCACTGCAATTGGTAATAAGTTGTAAAGCAAAATCCTCGCTTTTCAGCTGATGCTTGCCTTTATTACCTTCCCGAAACACCACTTTTGGTAAATCGCTTATAGGATTGTCAACGTATTGTATATTTTGGGAACTATAACATCATAAAATAGGAATATAAACAACAATATTTATTTTTAAAGTTTAAACAGACTTACATTACAACCAGCTCAACCTCAGTTTTTGCAACATTTTGTACAATAACGTCGAACATATCATATGAATTACGCACGTTGTTGAAATCATAAAAGAACAAAATACGTGATCTCTGGAACTTGAAACATCTATAACAGAAGGAGGGGATAATGTTAAAAATGCTTATATAAATGTATAGTCGTAAATTAGGCGTACTCTTCACCACGCTTTATGACTTCCATTGCAACCACCAAAGCTTCTAGCCACTCGCCTTCATCGCAAGCCTCTTCATTTACAAATTTGTAGAAATTTAAAAGCATATGCCAAGTCGGACATTGCGGGTTTTCGTATTGTGTTATATTATTATAACTGTCTGGAAAAACATGTTCATTAACATCATTAGAAGTCTTTTCGGTGCCCAGAAGTACAAACGAAACGAAATCTTGTCTACCTCCGCAGATCTGCAATGGCAAAGGTAACGAATATTTGACTTTGATAATGCAGTCACATGCATACCTTATCCTTCAAAAGCTCTGCTACCAACTTTACAGATTTCATTTTCAAATCTTCATTAGCCGATGGCCGTATATCCAGCACAGCTACAACAAATTCCTATTTGCCAAAATTATAATTAAGTATTTTTTATTAGTATTAAGATCAATACATTTTAGATATTTTAGTTACCTTATTTGCAGCCATATTGATTTTGGCAAAACAACACAAAATAAAAAATTTATACAACAAAAGTTATTTCATAAAATAAGCAACTGCTTTTGTTTACCATTTGTTGTGAAATATAAATAAAGAGTATACTATCGATAACAGGGTTGAAAATCGATTGCAAATTTTAACAGACCGGTAAAACACAAAAGTATCGAGCAAAGTCGGGTGATTATAATGATAATGACAGTTACCACTTTCGTAACCCGTTTAAAATCCTAAGCCAAAAGCTGGGCTGCGCGTTCCGTTACAGATTACGTCTGAGATTATGTCCAACCAACATTTTTTCCTTATAATTTTATCATAGTTTTAAATATGTTACGTTAAGTAAAAATAGAATTTGTTTCCTAGATCAATTCCCTTAAGTCAATCAAAATTATACCCAAGTTTTAGAGATGCGTTGCTAATGTGAGAAATGTCGTAAACTTGCATGTCAAAGTAAATATGTCACGCTCATAATCCAAAAGTTCCATCTGCTATCGGCTTTACTTATGTTGCATTTAAAAAAAAGTTCATGCTCACGGGCTCATTAGCTGTTGCTAGTCTATACAGAGTATGAAATCCCCTAAACCCTCTCCGCTTGTTGCATCTTCAACGCTATTTTTCGTTTTGTACACAATTGATTAAATTTGCTGGCTCGGTACATTGATCCAAATACATACATATGTGTTCAACTAATTGCAATTTAATTTTGAAGTTCTATTTATTGGCATTCAATAAAGTTAAAGACCTTTGCGGAAATTTGTATTAATTTATTTTAAAAGCTATAAAAAAAATCATTCGCAAACAAATGGTTTATTGCAATTATTACTGGAAGTATCTGAATATGATTAGTAATCAAGGATAATTGTAAGTTTGGTTAACAAAATTTAAATTCAACATTTTTGTATTATTTTTAAAGCTACGAAATAAAATTGGGTCTTCAAATGCTAACACATACAATCTTTGTGAATACAACAATTTATAATATTTAAATACAAAGAATGTTCAAAAATATACATTAGTTAACCTTCCTTTTAAAAGGTGCCACGCATCCAGCTCTGTTATAAAATTCTACTGGCTCTAAATCATCCAAATCGTCAAAGAAATCTGAATCTTTCGCCCAGCAAGGTCCCAGTTCTTTAGCTACTAGCTGATCACGCCAGAAATCAAACATTTCTCGTTTAAGAAGTTCATCTCGAACAGTAGTTATCCACATATTGTAAGACCAAGGATCAAAAGAGCAAGAATCAGCTTTTAATCTATAAAGCAAATCTCCAGCTTTTACTTTATTGTCTTCAGATGGATTATTTTGAGAAAACAGAAGCTTCCATATTACTTCGCGGGCAGATATTGCAATTTTTTTAAAATTATTAATGATGACGTCATCATCGCCATCCTGATCATCTTGCACTTTTTCTTTGATTAGGCAGTCGTAATCCCGACTTGGCGACTCTGTGGAAATATTTGCTACAAAGCCTGAATTTAGCTGAAAAAAATACATTAAGACTAATTTAAATAGTATTTTCAATATTAATTATGTTATTTGTGTGTACATACATCTAAACGTTCTTCGTTGGTAGTTGTGGGAAGATCCAATATATCAGAATTAAGTCTTCGTCCAGTAACTGGCGCAAAGGGAGCTACACAGCCAGCGTGATTGTAAAATTGTGCTGGTGCAGGGTCTTCCATGTCGTCAAAATAATCAGAATCTCTTGCCCAACATGGACCCAACTCTTTCACAACCACATGATCACGCCAAAAATCTAACATATTCCTTTTTAACAACTCGTCACGTAAACCAGAAATCCACTCATTATATGTATATGGATCATAGAGGCAAGAATCAGTTTTTAATCTATAGAGCAAACCTGCAGCTTTTACTTTATTCTCTTCAGACGTATCTTTTTGAGAAAACAGAAGCTTCCATATTACGTCACGTGCAGATATTGCAATTTTTTTGAAATTATCAATGATGACGTCATCTTCGACATTCTGATCTTTTTTCACTTTTTCTTTAATTAGGCAGTCGTAATCCCGACTCGGCGACTCTGTGGAAATATTTGCTTCAAAGTCAGAATTTAGCTGAAAAAAATACATTAAGACTAATTTAAATAGTATTTTTAATATTAATTATGTTATTTGTGTGTACATACATCTAAACGTTTTTCGTTGGGAGTTGTGGGAAGATCCAATATAACAGAATTACGTCTTTGTTCAGTAACTTGCGCAAAGGGAGCTACACAGCCAGCGTGATTGTAAAATTGTGCTGGTGCAGGGTCTTCCATGTCGTCAAAATAATCACAATCTCTTGCCCAACATGGACCCAACTCTTTCACAACCATATGATCACGCCAAAAATCTAACATATTCCTTTTTAACAACTCGTCGCGCAAACCAGAAATCCATTCATTATAAGTATATGGATCATAAAAGGATGCATCTTCTTTTATTTTGTTCAAAAACTCGGCCACATTTTCCAGACTCTCTTTCGTAATAGGACTAGACGAAAAGAGCAATTTCCATACAGTATCACGCGCAGCTGCAGATATTATTTTGTAATTTTTTTCTATCTCCTCCTCATCTAAACCTTCCGATTGAACTTTTTCTTCAATAAGCTTTTCATAATCCTTTAACGGCGCGTCTACGGAAATTTTAGCATCAAAATCAGACATCTTAAGAATAAATATATACATATATTAAAATATCAATGAGAAATGTGATTTCATATTAGTACAAACCGCGCTTGTCACACCGACTCTTTGTTGAACTGTTGAGGGGTTAGAAGGTTTTAAAAAACTTGCGGAATTAGAATTGAACATGTCTGTAAATTAGAAATAGTTAAACAGTTTAGTCATCTGTGCAGTTTATAGAACGGTTTATGTTTACAAATATTTGCACAGCTGAAAATGGTATTAAGCATGGTTGCCGCTTCCATAAGAATATGCCGAAACTGGTAACATTTTCATTGCCTGTAATAATTACATATACAATGTGTTAATAAAATTAATTAGATAATATCATATTCAATATTCAAGGAATATAGTGAATTTAGTTCATCTGAGCTAAAAAATTACTTATTAATATATGTAACAAGAAAATTGCAAACATCTGAAAATTTAAAAATTACAGATAATAACAATATAATCAATGATGATATAAGATTTCTATATCTAAAAAAAATTAATAAAATAAGTATAATCCATTTACTTATATCAGTTTCTGAAACCTTCGGAATTTATTGGGTATTGTTCTTCTATTCATGGCAACCAGGTATCATTGCGCAATTTCACGGCGAATAAAAAAGTAAGGCGAATCAAACAAGGTGAGCTTACTACCGTAGCTATTTCAAATTTTCATTAATAGAACGTCACAGCGTTTTCTTTTGAAGATTATACCTTAAAAATATATTGAAATTTTCATTATTGCGAATTTTGTGTTGTAGTCAATATCTCAAACAATAAGCGAGATATGGAGAAATTTTTGCATGTAGTTTTGTTTTCTGTTGCCGCGGAAGTTAAGCATGGTTGCGAAACCCAGATTATGAAGCTTTCCTTAAAAACGAAAAAGGCAAACAAAAAATTATGAGAAGCTTATTGTAGAAAAACCCGAAAAATTTGTGAATTTTTGTTTTACTGTTGTGCACAAGGGAAACACGTTTCGTGGATGCTAGGAAAAATGCATTCTGATTCGATGAGGCGTTAATCTATTGTTCGACACCTAGATTCTCTATTGCTTTTCTTGTTTCGAATAGGCAGAAAGGATTCAGCTGTTCCAAGCGTAAGTAAAGTAAATTCCCTTACATTTCTTATAGCAATATGTTGCACAGCGGTGTCTTCAACCCTTTCCTCAAGCTCGTGAATATAAAATACCAGTATAATTTCTATTATATTTCAAAATCATTGTTAAGAAAAATAGGTAAATTTGTAAATCGAAAAAAAAAAAAAAATTATTAACAGGCGGAAAGCGCTGCCTGTTAAATTTAACCGTCACATACTAAAACAGGCAGTTAAGAAAACGAAGACGTGTTTAAAGAGAAGCAAGGGAAGAATACAAAACCAAAAAGCCGATGTATTATGCTTGTGCATGTGACAACTTCACCTTCCATAAATTCCCTTGAAGAGAAATTAAATGTTAACAGGCACTCGAAAAAGATCCCTCAAATAAATTTTTGCGCCGAGTTTTAACAACTCTGTGTTAGAATACCATAATTTAGCAACACTGTTGTTTCGTGTGTTCGTGCGATTTGTTTGCTACCTATTATCTGATATAGTTGACTCGAATTCTGTTATTTTCCACTTAATTAAATTTGTGAATAAAATTTAAAATTATGGTGACAGCAAGGGTGTGCTTAATGAATCATAAATACTACATTATTAACAACTGAAGCAATTATGGCAAGAGAAGTTCTGCTTGCTGGATTCGAACTACAGTAACTTGGATGCATTGGGTTCTTACAGAGAAAATACCAGTTAAAACTAACTAAGAAATAATTGTATCAATCTAACAAAGGAAGAAAATTGTGCAAATTAGTAAAATAAAACAACGAATTGGTGCTGATTACGGGATACCTTTGCATATTGGACTGAAACCCATTAAATCTTTAGCCGTTTTGCACGAGACAGTGGTAATTTAATACAAATAACGGTACACATTTACTTTCATTTGAGGTAACAAGTAATTTGTTGGTATATTGTGTAAAGAAGGAAACTTAAGTAATATTTGTTTTTTTTTTTGCTTTATAAAATCAATATAATCTTAAATAACAAACTTTTATATACGTAGTGAGGTACATAGGCATTTGTATTCCTTTCTTCCGGCATGTAGTGGAAGTGTTGTAGTAAATAGGATATGTGTATGTGTGTATTCTTTTCTAACTTGGGGAGACTATCTACTATCGAGCCGTTAAACCATTCAAGGCAGGTAGCATATGATTACGATGGCCAAGGGCGGAAGGTAAGCGACGAATGTACGAAAAGTTTATTTTTAATTTACCTCACTAACACGCTCAACGTTGATCAACATTGTTTTTTTTTTCGCTATTAGTCGCTATAGCCCACATCGTTTTGGCGGTCAGCGACAAAACTTGTAAATACATGAGCACGAAAGCCACGAGATAGATACCAAAATCACAAGCTATGGCATAGAGAAGAATAGCAGAAGTAAGCATGCACTTGTGTCCTTCATCGCAGACGTTGTGTCGGAAATTCGCTAACCGATTTCGATTGCTGACACGTGCCGCACATAATCAAAGCAACGAAAGAATAACCGACTTTTTGTGGTGCGTAAGAGAAGAAGAATAAAATTAAAAGCTGTGTTAAAATTTTCAGGTGCGTGAGGTGCTGGGCGAAACTCTTAGATAAACAATCAAACAGTATTCTTGCGGAAAAGAAGCAGTTGGATTTTAAATAACAATTTAATAAAGGAAAGGTGTCTACAAAAGTGTAAAGATATTATATTTTACAATGTTTAAGCGTGTTGTGTAAAAGTGTGTGTGTTTGCAATTAAAACATTGTATATTTTTTTTTGATATAATCGTCGTGTGAATGGTTGTATTAAAACAATAAAAAATTATAGAACCCTAAAGTGTCTAGATACGAGTATATAACTCCAGAGGCAAAGTAGCTATAAACTTGTGTATTTAGGTACTCAAATGTCAACATAAGTATATTCATTGAATACTACACTGTCTGGCAAAATTCTTATCTATAAACTTGTAGACAAAATAAAATTTACATACATAAATATGCATGAATATACAAATAAGAACAAGCGTTCATAGATACATATATATTTATATATATGACTTATATGTAATATATATGTACATACACTTATTGCTTTCGCTATGAAACTTTCATTTATTCTCTGTTTTTATTCACCATTTCAGTTACTTATCGAAAATGTTCTCAATTCAGCAGCTGATCAAAGCTCTCCGAAAGCTACAAAACACAAATGCCAAAAATGCTGGGAGCGATTTAGTGAAACAAAACCTCAAGCCAGTTTTAGCAATTTCAACCGAAAGAATAACTGGTGTGGAAGGGATATCACCGCCTGCAAGCATTAAAAATGCTACTTCTAAATTGTCACCCTCAGCTGTGACGTCATTGCTCTCGTTAGGCAACACGATGATATCACCAAAACAACCAGAACAACAACAGCAACAGCAATCCCACCAAAGTGAGAATAATCAACAGCTGTTGCTGGGAACAAATTCTAGTCAACAACAAAAGCAAACATATCAGCAACAAAATTTGCTGCGGCATACACAAGCACATGAAGTCATATGTGAAACTAGTCCACAACGTAATGTCAGTCTTGATTTGTCTGCGATTGAAAACGGTTGTGTTACTGCTGGTACGGAATACCAAATTGCCGTGAATTCATTGAAGACGACAACAACAAGAGCGCAAGCTATAAATTTAACAAAAACAACACGCTCCCAACAGATACAGAAATTCTATCAACAGCATCTACATTATTTCCATACACAAAATAATCAAAATTTAGAAAATAAACAAACACAATATAACGCAATGTCATCATTGGCAGCTGAACCGAAAACAGTAAAGCAAGACGAACAAACAATGGCGACAACAAATGGACAACATCCAATAAAGGATGAAAATACCAGCAACGGTAGCAGTTGTAATGGTAATGAACAGAAGAATTCATCCGGTAAGCCGTGCTTCAATGCCGGATTGGGACAAATAATACAGTTTATGGAGCTGATTGGTAACCTAAAGGTGAGTGACATGTGCAATAAATACTTTAACGACATTTTATCGATTTTTTCACAAACAAATTTTGTAGCACATACACACATGAACCAGTGTTTTGTAATCGTTTGTACGCATGTATATATTTCTTTGGTTATTTAGAAATATTAAAGAAATTACAAAATTTGCAAATTTTAATCACCAAAGATTGACATATGGACATACATATGCAATAAGCGGCTCAAGAGTGATATATAATTGTGTACTCTAAAAAGTGTACTCTTAAGTTTAAATGAGAACCGGTTTTGGTATAAACAAATGTTAATACAAAAAGTATATTCATACATATGTGTAATTGTGTGGTTTTCATAAACTTTCCACGTTTTACGTCTAACACATTTGGCAAACCTAAATATGCTACGAAATTGTCAAGGAGGAGTGTGACCGCTTCAGCCTTGAGTTTGCTGCTGTTTGATAAAAATTTGCTTTGAGGGGCAAATCAATAAGTTGAATGCAACGAAAACTTCTAAAAAAAAGTTACAAAATTGCGTGTTCCCAACCCTTAAGGAAGTTGTCAAAGTATGACGGGTGTTCCTGCTGTTAATTGGCAAGTCTAGCTGCGTAAAGAAAGGGCAAATGCCGGTGTTTAATCAATAAATATGACTGCTACACGTGGTGTATGTAATTTTAAAAATGCATATATTCGGCATAATGATGTCATTGACAATTGAAGGCTGTTTTAATAACAAGTAGCCAAAACAGAGAAAAGTAATAAAACTTAAACTATAAGTTAGGCCCTTTTGGAAAATATTTTGTATATGCTCTTAGCAACTCTTGATGTTTATGCATACTTACATACCTGAAAGTAGAAGAATAGTTTTAGGTACAGTCTTTTTTCGCCGAATTTTGCCTTTATTTTACCCTAAATGCTTCTAAAATTACTAGTGAGGAAGTATGTATATAGAATTATTTAATGTACCAGCTCAAATAAATGTTAGGTAGGTACGAACTCGAACTCAGAGCAGAGTAACATCTAAAAAAAACTTTTTTTTATTCCATACGATAATTGCGCTTATTAGCTATTGAAATAGAAAAAACCGTCTCTAGTTCGAAAGCGCTTTATTTAAAAAATATATGTATATAAGTTTGTGTAAAGTTATTATGAATTTCAATTGTGCAATTTTTGGGAAAATTTCTATGAGAAAATTATGTAATACTTAGCAATTATCAAAAGTAAATTTTAAATTTAAGTTAATAAATTAAAAATAAATTTAGGTCAATAAATCCCCTAATGCAATGTACATCCCTGAAACACAGCTGATGCTTAAAGATTTGAAATTAAAAAAAAAAAAATGTTATTGTCAACAAATATTAATTGTTTGATTGAGTGCGCGTTTCGTATATACCCCTATGTATGTGATTAAATACACAATTTTTGTTTATTGACGTAGGCGTACAAATGCATTGACGCCAATTTTTAAGCTATTTTTTTTACGTCGGCAAATATTAAATAACTTTTCGTGGAATGGAGAAGATATACTTTAACATACATATACATATGTATATGCACTTTTTCATTAGCTTTGTTTATTATATTTGTATTTATTGTATTTGCTATTGTTGTTATTACTAGATAGCTAAGTCAATTCCTTATGTAAGTCAAGTCAAGCTAACTTATAATGATAATATTCTAAAAGTATGTTTATTATTTCTGTTCACAGGGAATGAGTATATGCAGGCACATGCATATGTAGGTGTCAAGCGTATTTCGATTTAATTTACTCAGTATTTAAAATGATTTCTCTAACTCTTTAAATAATTGTTATATCTCACTTGATATTGCTCTCTTCGTTCTTAGTGATCGTTTATTTTTATAAATAAATTTTTCTTTTGCTCTTTTACATATATAAATATATACATTAGCGATATTTATATGTATAGGTATACATTTGTATTTGCATAGTCTATGAGAATCGAAATATGAAGAAAAAAAAATAAAACAATAAATTAAACACGCTCTTTGACTATATCGAAGGTTTTATGCCAGATTATCGCTGGTTTTCTTTTTATATGATACGAGTATTTTGAGCTCTTTGATTTTCCATGCCAATTTTTGAACTATGGCATGCGCGTAGAGTAGTATTTTCAAGTTATTTTTGCTGATATGGATTAGTAATCTCCCAAATGAATGTTATAGCTCAGTTATGTGGACTTAGAACACTTAGCTGTTCTGTTCATAGAACTTTGCGTATAAGTGATTAGCCAATACACATGTATGTACATAGATAAGCGTACATAGCTTTATTTAAAAATTTGTTGAATTTAGGTTTCCTATTCTCCTTTCATAGTCATGTCAGCATAGACGACGGTTTTATTATATGTTAAATATATATTAAATTAATTGTCATAATGTGGAGAAAGCTTATGATCATTCTATGATCATTCGAAGACTTCAGACCATGAGTTCGATCTATTAATATTTGAATATTGCAGTCGACTTAATTCCTACCCACTCAGACTTGACTCCCAACGAACTAAAATTACTAAGTGTTTGTGAAAAACAATTTTTTTTAGCAATTCTACACTCTTTAAGCATAGTTCTGTTCAACAGAAAATTAGTGATCTAACGAGAAGGTTAGGTATCAAATTGTTTTGCATGGTTTGAGCAAAGAGAGCCGAATCATGTTTAACTATGCTTAACTACTGACATTAATTAAGTATTATTTTCGATTTTAGGTACATGAAATCAGCTAGATTTCTTCGCTAAAGATTTTCGAAAGTACTGTTAGCTTGAAGTGACTAGAGCTGGCAAGAATGCTTACCGTTTTTTTAACCTAAAAAAAATTTTAAATAAATTCTTACAAATTACATTGTATACAATACAGTTCAGTGTCAAATGTCCTTTATTATTAAATAGAAAATGTTCAAGCAGAAAAATGCTTATAAATACATACTTACATACAAACATATATCAATGTATAAAATGTGTGCATAAGTATGTGTAAATATAGGAATGCTTGGACCTCATTCTGTGCATTCATTTGACTTGTTTTCATACATACCCATACATATATGTATATATAATTACTTTTTTTTTGTTTTTTTTTGTTTTTCTTTTTGAAGGCCAAGATCAAAGCCAGCAACAACAAATTGGCAACTGAAAAGAAAAAATGCTTTGCATGTGAAAATACAAAGTTGTTCAGATTCAGCATTGAAGATTTTTTTTATTTACCCTGCATTTAGTTTTTTTTATATTACACATTTTATTACTTAAATTTTGTAAATACTTTTGCATTACTTTCAAATAAATACTTAAAAAAAAGTTAAATTGTGATAAATAAAATTTTTAAGAATTACTTTAGTATAAAAATTCACCGTTTTCTATATACTTAAGTAATTTTTTAAAATTTTTATGTGCCAAATTTCCTTTTTTAATGAATTTAATTGCTTTACTTTTTTTAAATACTTAAAAACAATTATAAATATAATTTTTAAAAATTGCTTCAGTACATAAAATTCAGCGTTTTTTATATACTAAAGTAATTTTGAAAATATTTATATGACACAATTTTTTTTCTTATTAATTTAATTTCATTATATTGTTTTAAATACTTAAAAAAAATGTGTTATAGATATAATTTTAAAAAATTACGGTAGTATATAAATTTGAGAATTTTTTATATACCAAGTAATTTTTAAAATTTTTTATGTGACACAAATTTCCATTTTTAATGAATTTAATAGCTTTTCTTTTTTAAAATACTTTAAAAAAAATATTATTTACAAATTTTAAAAAATAACTTTAATATAAAAAATGCTCAAATTAACCCTTTTTAGAAGTATTTAAATGAAAAGTAAAAGTATATATAATTTAAAAAAAAAAAAAATAAATTTTGTCAATATCTGTAATTGCGTCCCTAAAATAAATTATATATATTTAAACAAAATATTTAAAATTAACACTTGTCATTAAAAAAGTATTTAAAAGCTATACTACCCAAATATGTAAATTTAAATTAAAATTAATTATATATTCAACATTTATATATCTAATTTTTTTTTTTATCTAAATAAAATGAATTACAATAAATGATTAAATTATTTTAAGTTCAAGCAAAACTTTCGAATAAATATTTTTTGTATTTGGAAATCATAAAAAAATAGTAACCTCAACAAATTCTCATTTTTAGAACAAAAATAAACAAAATATTTTTCAATGAATGCAATAATAACAATGTAAAGTGCTCTTCTGACAAAGTATAGCAATGCAACAACAAATACAAATCACCAGTTGATATCAATAATTTTGAAATTCATTTACATTTTGTGTTGTCTGGCATTTTTTTTATAATTTTTTTCTTCTTTCTTTTAAATTAGCTTTACCCATGATTCCAATCTAATCACATGCATTTAGCTTATAATTTATTGTTTGCTATATGCAAATACATACATACATACATGTTTAAATGGAAATTATTTAGTTTAATTTTTATTCTATTATTTCTTAATTGACTATATCTCGTGCATTCACGTGAGGCTCAAATAAACGATATACATACATAAATATGTACAATTGTACTATATACTGCATGCATGTATGTGCATGCAAAAATGTTCAAATAATTCAATTCCAATTTCACATTTTATTTGACGTTTTTTTTTTTTATTTTTTTACTCTGCGCGTGTTTGCAATGGCATTTGTACCCAGTAGGAAAAACTATTGCTCGAAGCTGAGCAGTAAACTATGACTAACGATTTTAAAAACTTTTTATTTGCCTTCTAAATCTATTCATATTGCATTTTTTTATATTCTTTTTATATTCTAAATAATAAATCAAAGTCATCGTATTTTTATTTGTGAAAAATATCGTAGCTAAATGTCACTTCTTCGGTTTTACTGCAGGGTAAATGTATTATCGGTTAGCTACATAAATTTTGCTAATTAGTTTTGCTGCGCTAGCAAATTATTTCCGTACGTTCCGACACGTAACTGCTAACTAAGCGAAGTAGTTTGTTGTTTGCACAATAAAAAAAAGTAAATAAATAAAAAACAAAAAATAAGCAATAAAATGAGAAAAAATGTGAGAGCTTTATGCCTTTATTCCTTTTTTAGAAATCATTATAAATTTCACCAAAAAACGAAATTCGAAACGCAAATGTAAATAATTGCCATTCATTCACTTGATATGATCTATCATTACTAATAAACAGAACGGGAGTTGTAAATAATAAAACAGACCGAAATAAACAAATAAAAAAATCTTAAAAAATTATTATTTCAATTCAGCGTTTTTGATTTCCACTTGAGTTGTAACGAGACGCTTTCATTTGTACACAATTAATTTGAGACTCCATTTCCGTTATTGCACATTTTCTGGTATAATTATTACGATTTTTTTTTTCAATTTGTGTGTCTAATTCTCACCAAGCGATTAGATAATTTTATGAATGTGTAGATATGAATGTGCGTATGTGTATTTATATTTAAAACTTATTGCACTGGAAGTGTGCGGTTAACTGTAATGAGTGTTGCTGTGCATACACGTATGACATGTTGGAAGCTTATCTACTTAACGATATTTTTGTATTTTTTTTGCAACGGGTTTTTGCATGTTGTTCATAGCCTGACGTATGCTTCAAATTCTTTTCTTTGGAAAATATATTTCTTATCGTGATTTTCGTTTATTTTTTTGTTGTAATTTAATTTGTGAGTAATTTAAACGACATGTCGTCGCGTGGTTTTTGTTTTTAACTTAAATTCCCAATTTCGAAGTTCCAAAGGGATTTTTGATGCAACTAAACTGCTGGTCAATCTTCCATAATCTCTGATTTTAAAATTTTTTTAACTCTTTTTTCAATTATTTATTTAAAAAAAAAAAATAAAAACTTGGTTTTTTGGGCTTAATATTGAGTTGTGCCCGTTTTGAAGCTCGTAAGAGATAACATTTTTGCCTTCTTATTTTAGAGCAGCTTAAAATGTTTTTAATTTATGACAAATTACAATTTATCTACAAAATGTATGTTTTTTTTTATAATATATGTAAGCAATATCACTAAGTAGCACAAATATTTCTAAAGTACAAAGAAAAAGTTTTAAGTATAAAATTACATTCAACCACAACGTTTTCGGTTTTATCATGCTTTTACAATTTTCTTGATAGAAAGAGTTTATTATTTATGTATGTATATATGTATGATAATGAAATGCTTTCGAAAATGACATTTTTGCTCTGTTTTTGAACTTTTTATGGAACTAATTTTTATTTTTCCAGACACCTTTGCACGTTTGCACATCCATATTTTATTTTATTTGATTCCATCTCATTTTAATTTACTTAATTTAAATTAATTTATTCTTTTAATTTTATATAATTTAACTTTATTTTATATTGTACATATTTAGTCTAAATTTATTTATTTCATATTCTATTTTATTTTATTTCATACTATTTTCATTCAATAGATTTTATTTATTTGATTTTTATTTAATATAGTTTAATTTGTTTAATTTTTTGTTATTTCATTTATTTAATATTTTATTTTACTTCATTTGATTTTTTATTATATTTTATATTTAGTTTTATTATCGGTCAAAAATCGCTACAGCGGTTCAAAGTGCCAATTATATTATATACATATATCATAATTATATATAGTTTTTTATATTTTTTTGGTTTATTTTATTTATGTATATGTTATGTTGTTTTATTTTATTTCATTTTATTTTATATGGTTTATTTTAATTTTTTTAAATTTATATTATCTAATTAAATTTTTTATGTTTTTTAATTAGATATTTTAATATTTAATTTTTTAAATTATTATATTTTAATTATTTTTTTATTTTCTTTTGTTTTATTTAATTTTATATTATTTTTTATTTCATTAAATTTAATTAAATTTATTTTGTTTCATTTAATTTTGTATGTTTTTTATTTTATTATATTTTATATTAAATATTTTAAAGTTATATTTTTTCATTTCATTTTCATTTTATTTTGTTTATTTTAATTTTTTTAAATTTATTTTATTTAATTAAATTTTGTAGGTTTTTTACTTTATCACTTTAATATTAAGTTTTTTAAATTATTATATTTTAATTCTTTTTTTATTTTCTTTTGTCTTATTTAATTTTAGGTTATTTTTTATTTCATTAAATTTAATCAAATTTATTTTATTTCATTTAATTTTGTATTTTAAAATTTTATTATATTTTATATTTAATATTTTAAAGTTATATTTTTTTTCATTTCATTTTCATTTTATCTTGTTTATTTTAATTTTTTTAAATTTATTTTATTTAATTAAATTTTGTATGTTTTTTATTTTATCACTTTAATATTCAATTTTTTAAATTATTATATTTTAATTCTTTTTTTATTTTCTTTTGTTTTATTTAATTTTATGTTATTTGTTATTTCATTAAATTTGATTAAATTTATTTTATTTCATTTAATTTTGTATGTTTTCTATTATATAATTACATTTTTTTTTTATAATTAAATTTTATATGTTTTTTATTTTATAATTTTAGTAATAATTTTTTTAAATTATCATTTTTTAATTCTTTTTTTACTTTATTTTGTTTTATTTACTTATATGTTATTTTTTATTTCATTAAATTTATTTTATTTAATTAAATTTTGTATGTTTTTTATTTTATCACTTTAATATTTAATTTTTTAAATTATTATATTTTAATTCTTTTTTATTTTCTTTTGTTTTATTGAATTTTATGTTATTTTTTATTTCATTAAATTTATTTAAATTTATTTTGTTTAATTAATTTTTATATGTTTTATTTTAGTATATTTTATATTTAATATTTTTAAATTAGCATTTTTTAATCTTTTTCTTACCTTCTTTTGTTTGATTTCACTTTATCTTATTTTAATTTTTTTTATTTCATATAATTTTATATGTTTTTTATTTTATTATATTTTTCACTTTGCTTTATTCCGCTTCTTTTCATTTTATTTTGTAATTGTTTATTTTATTTTTTATTTATATTAATTTAATATATTATTCTCTTTTATATAAATTAATATTTCAAATTAAAATAATTAAATTAATATAAATTTAATATATCATAGTTTTATTTTATTTATTTATTTTTTATTTTATTTTGGTTAAATTAATTTAATTTATTTAATCTTTAAGTTTCCTGCACTTTTTCTTTTATTTTCTTTAATTTTATTCTATTTTAAGTTTTATTAATTTCATTTTGTTAATAAATTTTTTTTATTTATTTTATTTCATTTTATTTTACGCTTTTTATTTTATTATATTTTATATTTAATTTTTTAAGTTAATTTTTTTTAATTTCTTTATTTCACTCTATTTTGCTTTATTTAATTTTATTGTATATTTTTCAAATTTAATTCTACATTATTTTGGCTTACTTATTATATTTTATAATTTATTTGATTGAATTTAATTTTTTTATTTTATTTAATTTTTTTTTATTTCCCCACATTTTTTCTATTTTTTAATGCTTTATTTTATTTTTTTTTATTTAGATTAATTTAGTATATTATTATCTTTTATTGAATTTAATTTAATTGGATATTTTTATTTTATTTTGGTTAACTTATTTTAATTTCTTTAATCCTTTAGTTTATTCCATTTTTTCTTTATTGATTTTTAACAGTTTTCTATTTTATTTTATGTCATTTTATATTCTTTAGTATTTATTTATTTTAATTTCGATTATTTGACTTTATTTAATTCAATTTAATTTTGGTTTCTTTATTGTTATTTGTTTATTAATTCATTTAATTTTTATTATTTTTTTTATAATATTATTTAATATTTTTTATTTATTTATTTCATAAATCTCTTATTTAATTTAATTTAAATTTATTTTATTTATGTCTTTACAAGAATTCCCATTTCTTTTTATTGAGTCAGATATGAAAATTAATAATTTTTGTAATGCAATGCTAAGCCAGTACAAATAAATGAGTGCTGCATACATACATATATGTTTGTTTATTCGTATTCATTTGATTATTTATTTAATTATTTCGCCACTCAATCGGCTGCCAATATGTATGGTGACTGCTTTTAATAAAAGTCTGTTTTATATGATTGCGGTAAATATTGGCTATGTATAAAGCTCGATAGCTTGATAAGCTAGGTAAGGGCAAATTATTGCTAACTCTATTACGTAAATATCATACATACATACATACATATTTATGTATATTTCTGCACTATTATACCAACAAGTATAAATGTATGTATGAACGACTTCCCGCATTTGATATGACGTATGTATATGTATGGTAATTGTACCCAGAGATATTTTACGCACCTTCTCTGCTTTATATATGCTGACTAATGTCTGTATGGAATTGATCAGCAGATCATAAATTTTATGACAGCAGCCATTTATTGCTATTTTCTCAATATCAATAATCATATGCAATACACATTTATTACTTATGGCACAGAAGATAATTTATTTTCTAGTAAAAATTACTTGCTATTGATTTAATAAGTGTCCATACTTTTTTTATAATATTTTATACTAATTTGCCTACAACAATATACATTGTTGTTATATTCTTCTTATTCACATTGCCATGCTGTCTGTCATTAATTAATACCAATTACAATTTCCACTTTGCAATTACAGCATACCAAACGCACGGGTTGGGTGCTGCGCAACGTAAGTGATCCCGAATCCATATCGGGCCATATGTATCGCATGAGTATGATGACATTTCTGCTAGACGGTAGTGAGGGTCTCAATCAAATACGTTGCATGGAATTGGCTTTGGTGCACGATTTAGCGGAGAGTGTTGTTGGCGATTTGACGCCTTTTTGCGGCGTCTCCAAGGCGGATAAGCGCGCGATGGAATTCAAGGCAATGGAAGATATTTGCAAGTTAATAGAACCACGTGGCAAACGTATTATGGAACTCTTTGAGGTACAGTTGTATGCACTTACTTGCAATGTTCGTGTGTGTATTTAATCATTTATTTATATTATTTATATCTACACAGGAATATGAAGCAGGCGAAAGCGCTGAATCAAAGTTTGTGAAAGATCTCGATAGACTCGATATGGTCATGCAGGCATTTGAGTATGAGAAACGTGATAATTGCCTATTGAAACATCAAGAGTTCTTCGATTCCACAGAGGGTAAATTTAATCATCCATTCATTCGGAAGCTAGTTGCCGAAATCTATGAGCAGCGTTTGAATTTAGCGCGCGTCAAGGGTGCTACGCCACCGCCACCTGTGGAAGTACCAGATATTACGACTTTGCCGAGTACGGCAAATGACGGTGCGACAGCGGCAGCAGCACCAACTGTGGAGTCGCCCAAAAGTGAAACGAGCACTACAAGCAGTTGATTGCGCAGCGCATGAATGTAGTGTTTCGCGTAAAAGTTGAAAATAAAAAAGTAGCGGCATTATAATTGCTAGAGACAAATTTGTCAGGCACCGGTTTGTTTGACAGCGTTTAGACATAAAAAAAAATAAAATAAAATAAATAAAATAATCTGCGACTCTAACGATAAACGTGCGTATATTTAATATGTACTTGATTCCGTGCTTAATACAATTTTTGCTTTGCACTAAGCAACAAAAAACCTACACTTAATTTTGACGAAACTCTCCTTTGTTTGTTTTTTGATTCGTTTTGATAGAAAGCTGTATTGAAAGGTTTAGTGTTTGATAGTATAAGTAAAACAATAATAATAATAATAATAATAAAAATTTAATCGGCACACATTTTCACCTATACGCTACAACAACAGTTGTATAGAGAGACGTAAAATATGTTCTTTTAACAGTTATTTTAAATTATAAACAAGTAATTAATTATTTGTAGTTATTTTAATGAACGTATTAAGTATTTCAATGTTCCATGCTACATTGTTGTAAACGTAAAAGCGAATTGTACGTTATACAAGATATACTGTTAGACGATTTTAAAATAATATATATGTGTATGGTCATAACCATTGAATAACAAATTATTAATTAATATTATTATGTATAATGCATCAGCCTTGTGATAACTTAAAACTTCTTCATAATAATTCATTTATAAAATCTTTAACAACCTTAAAAATGACATGCTAAGTATTTATACATAATAAATTTTTAAATAAAACGCGCAGTTTGTAATTGCAAGTCGATGGGTTATTAATTATTTTAAATCGTAATTGAATAACATAACTTGACGTAAATAGCTCAAAGAACAAAACAAAGTAGAGAATTGAAATTTCATCAACCAAATCAAATAAGTGTTTAGCAGTAAAGCGGGCTTTGTACAAATACATAATATTGTTTAAGTTTACGCCAAATATTTGCATCTATTGAAACTATGTATGTATACTTGTAAAGAACATCACGTTGGTTTATTTATATTTAAACTATTTTATAAGTAACTCAGATTTATTATATATTTTTTTTTTTTTACATAAGTTCATCATTAAACATGTACCTTTTAAACGGTAGCGAAATGTATTTGAGGCAAGCAAATCATAAAATTCATAACATAATTCTAATTCATATAGACGCATTCATAATTGAAAGCAGAAAAGTTGTATATTAAGAGAGGACAAAAACGCTTTTACTTCATTGTAATTTTGCAGTTTATGAAATGTAAAGAAAATTTTATTTCAAATTTGTTTTTCTTTTATTTTTCGGTTGAACATTACAAGTAGGTAATCGAAAATTAAATAATCAATTATATTTTAAACAAAATTTTCGAATATGTTCTATGTAAATTTATCATCTTTTAGTGTTTATTCTCGCTAAGTAATATCTACTATGTAAAATTTAAATTTTTTAATTTCCCGTTGTAAACTGAAAATCTATTATATTTAATCAAAAAAAAAGTTCTTAATCTTAAACACAACTCAAACGATCTTTGTTTGCTTTTTGGCAGGTCGCTGATTTTGTTAAGTAAGTTCATAATTGTAATAATGCTTCGATACCGCCAAATTTAGACTGCTTTAGAGTTTCATTATGATTTGAAGTTTTTATTGTTGATGTTGTAGCGGTTCGCTAACCACGCTTAGGCACAGGTTTGATTAATCTAAGTCGCCGAGTTCATCTAATGGGCGGTCCAGGAAACGAGCTGTTTCGACGGGGTTGGACCAAATTGTATAATCTGAAGTAATATATAACGGTTAGGTTGACAAACCCAAAAACCCAAGCTACTATAGCGCGGGATTTAAAATAGCAAAAGCGAAATGAAATTATATTAATTATTATTAATGTTAAAAAAAATGCAAATATTTTTTTTTTGCATATTGAAAAAATATATAAATATATAGATTTTGTGTTTTTTGGATTTTGAAAAAAATAAAATTAAAATCATGCATAAATTTTTTTTTCTTTGAAAAAAAAAAATATAATATGTTATATATATATATATCAATAAAATATAGATATATATATTTTTTCGCATTCAGAAAAAAAATTGTAAAAATTTTTGTTTAACCTTGCGTTTAACTCAAAAATAGAGTTATTTCAACTTGCAATCATCACTCGATTGTTATAAAGAAACCACACTCTAAGGTAAAATCGCATTTATGTTTTATAATATTTATTCACATATTTTTTCTTACAGTTCCCAAAGCACTAGCGTCATTAAAACTAAAATAAAGTGGATTTTGTATAGCATTGTGGGCGTAGCTGGCGAAGTGTATTCTGCAAAGTGGCGATATTAATTACAATCAATAAAAAAAACAATAATTTTAACTTAATCACCTTCAATTAAAATCAACTGATTGTCTTTTCCGTCTATGTGGTGAGTATGATGGCCATTTTTCTTGGACTTATCTAAGGAAATAATATTAGTCATTCTTTTACAGCACATATACATCTACATGGCAACTTACGTCTAACTGTTATTATACGTTCGGATTCACCCAATGAATTTTTAGCTACACAATGATAATCACCAAAGTCTCTCATATTCGTGGGTCGTATAATCAAACGCATTACAATTCTGAAGACATTATCCAAAGTGATGGATTCATAGGTGCCGCTTTGCACAAATTCCTTGCCTTTCAACCAGAAATTCACTGTTGTTGGATGTGCTTCAGATATACATTCGAGCGTCACCTTCTCACCATAACCGACGTGTATTGTATCATAATGGGTCCAAATAGTTGGTGCAACTGTAGAGATTTATATGATTTATACTGAAACAAATATTCTATTTATACAGTTACTTACAATTAACGGCAATTAGTACACGTTTGCTCACTGTTGGCGGTATGCCATTGGAGGCTATGCATAAATAGGCGCCCATATTTTCTCTTGTCACCTGCCAGAGTGTCAGATTTGCTCCTTCTATGCTGTAAATCTCAATACCACCGATAATCTGTAGCGGCACATCACGTTCACGTCGCCAAGTTACCGTTGGTATTGGCAGGCCTGTTGCGGTGCATGTGAGGCTAACGTTTTGTCCCTCCTGTACGTTCATATCGTGACTGGTTTGGTAGTCAACTATATCGGGTGGCACCACCACATCCAGATAACCGACTTGACTTTTCATCGGATCTGTATTTATTTGGCACATATACCAACCGCGATCAGATTCGCGTACATCGCGTATGCGTAACTGCCAGATGCGATGCTCTGTGTGGCTGATGCCTATGCGGTGGCTCTTTGTAATGACGTGATTTTGTATGCTCAGTATGGTTTGCGTGTCGACTCGCAGCCAGGCAAGCTGAAATGGTGGTGTATTTTGAAAAAAAAAAAAAATATTTTTCAATGGAAATTAAATATGTAATAAATGTATGTATGTCATAACATACAAACCTTAAACGACATTAAATCGTGCACGATGCAAGTTAGCGTCGCATCACGCCCCACTGGCGTGGTTACATTACTTATAGGTCCGCTGAACTTGGGATCCGCTGTGGAAAAAATAAAAATTAATAAAAAGGAAAAAATGAAAGCATAATAATGAATATTTTGAACGTTATTGAATTGAAATTTAATTTAATTGTTATTTTTATTCATTTTATATACTTTTGCTGTATATTTGATGTTTTTGGGTTTTATTTCTTATTTTTGTATTTTATATTAAGTTTTGTTTTAAAATTTTAAATTTTTTTCATGTCACATTTTTATTATTTTTTTCTATTTTTTTTTTAATTTTATGAATCTAAATATTATTGTTTATTTTTTCATATTCATATAAATTTATACTTTTATTAATTTACTCTTTCTTATTTCTAATTTTGTTTCTCTTATTAATTTAAAATTTTTAATTTGAAAAAATAAAATTTAATATTGCAGTTGACAAGTGTGTTCATAACAAGGAATATTTTCATCATTTTCAAATTTTATTTCAATATAATTTTCATTATTCTTTATTTTTTTTACTTTTGCTATATATTTTATTTATTTTTTGGTTTTTAACACTTATTTTTTATGTTCATAATTAATTATTAATTTTTAAATTATCAGTAGTATTTTCACATTATTTTTAATTTTCTTAAATTTAATTTTTATTTTAATCAACAAAAAATATTGTTTTTTTTTCGTATTATTTTTAATTTATACTGTTATTAGTTTACTATTTTTTTATTTATAATTCTTAAGTTTTACACGCCCATTTCTTTTTTTGTTACTTTTATTTATTTATAATTTTTAATTTGAAAAAATTAAAATTAATATTTTAGTTAAAAAATGTATTCATAAAAATGAATATTTCGAACAATTTTTAATTTTACTTCAATTTAATTTTATTATTTGTTATTTCATTTTCTATTGCTGTAGTTTTCAATTTTTGTTTTTATTCATTTTTTATTATTAATTTTTAAAATTTTAGTAGTATTTTCAAATTGTTTTTTATTTTCTTTAATTTAATTTTTATTTATTTATTTTGTCATATTATTTTCAATTAGAAGTTAGTTTATTATTTTTTTTATTTATAATTTTTAAGTTTTACCCTCCTACTTCTTTTTTGTTACTTTTATTTATTTATAATTTTTACCCTGAAAAAATTGAAATTAATATTTTAATTAAAAAATGTGTTCATAATAATGAATATTTGATCAATTTTTAATTTTACTTCAATGTAATTTTTTTTCTATGTATTTAAATTTTTTTTGGTTTTTATTTCTTATTTCTTTATATTTTTATTAATTATTTTTTATTAATTCTAACGGTTTTGGTCTTTTTTCTATTTATAATTTTTGTTTATTTATGATTTTTAATTTGAATGAATAAAAATTAATATTTTAGTTAAAAAAGGGGTTAAGAATGAATATTTTGAACAATTTTTAATTTTACTTCAATTTCCTTTTTATTTAATTTTAATATTTTTTATATTATGAATTTTCAAATTTTTGTTATTTTTTTTTTTGGTTTTATATATTAATTTTTATTTTTATCAGAAAAAATACTATTTGTTTCATATTACTTTTAATTTGTGCTATTATTAATTTACTTCTTTTTTATTTATAATTTTTAATTTATCATCTCTTATTTATTTATTTGTGGGGAAAACATCAAGATGCATAATCACAAATCGGAGGAAAGGCTCGGCGGAAAAATCGCTTCAGCGGTTACAAAGTGAAAATTATATATATATATATATAATATTAGAATTTAAATTTTTTTTTATTTTTTTTTTTTTGAATACGTAAATTTATTTTTACAATACTTTTTTGATTTTATTTTTATTTTTAATATTTTTAGTTCTTATTTAGTTATTATTTTTAATTTTGATAATTATTATATATAATTTTTTATATATTTATTTTTTATATTAATTTTATTTTAATTATTTTTTTTTTTAATTTAAGGTTTTAAATATTTTAATTTTATTTCCGGTTTTATTTTTATTATTTTTTATATGATGTCTTTTTCTGATTTTCGAATATGGTTTTTAATTTTATTATTTATTTTTATTTTGACGTTTATATATTTTTATTTCTTTCTATTTTTTATTTTTATTTTTCTTTATTTTTTTTTGCATTATTTTTATTTTAATCTTTATGTATTATTTTTATTTTTTTATTTTACGTTTCAAGCAGCAAATAATTTCTGTCTAGTCTCATATAAAGAAATATTCTGTGGGTTGCCAGCTAATATTCGTTAGAGGACGAATTGAAATGAGGTGGCGCAGTTCTTTGCATGTTAGGAATAGCAACTAATCCCTGTAAACGTGTTTGGAACCATAATTTAAAGGCATGCAGCTAGAATGTTACTGCCAATGAAAGCAGAGGAAGAGTAAGGCCTCCACATCGTTGTAAAGGTTAGATGGAGAGCGACCTGGTTTCACTTTGTTTGTTCTTTTTGCTGTTTGGCGCTAATTGGAGATACCAAAATAAAGCAGATGGAGGTCTTCCTCTTTCTAACCTCCCCCCTGGGATACTGTATCAAATATTTTCAAAGCTGGAGTGCTTTCATATATTCCTAGTCATAACATATCCAACCTTATATACAACTATTTGTTATATCGTTTACGGTATTCGGCGTTGCCAATGCGCAAATGACTATAAACCCTCCACAAAAGCTATTTTCTCGCAAGCGACGACTTCATTCATTCATTCATTTTGTGCCAGCGATCAACTTTTCTATAATCCACCGCGTAGTTTTGTATTGTGTTTGATACAACTCTAACCTCACTGTTGCGTGTTTTAAATATTTTCAGTTTCTTTTCCGCCGAGATTTCAGTTGATGTTGCCATCACTGCGACCTCCGATTCGTTCCCTTCTCATCCCGTTTTATATTTTAATTGTGTTGTTCATATTTGAGGCGTCCAAAAGACTCTAAAGAATATAGCCACATGTTATGGTGAAATTGTTAGAAAGGTCAAAGGGGTTTGGTTTCATTCTCTAGACTGGATTAGGATAAAAAACTTGACAACTCCCTAGTCAATGTTTATAGTTATAGTTTCGTCAATCTCGGTATCAATATCAGCAATCAGCCTGAATTGGATTCTCTCCAACAGTAGCTGTTTTGTGTAAAGTATGCCTTTGAAAAGGAAAATCCTCTCTTGATGATCCAGAGCAAGATTGTAAAATTCTCTCTTCAAAACTGTTCACCCTTATACGCAAACTTGGAAGAAAGTAACACCTGATCGGTAGACACTACCGGTTTTAACGATGGATCCTTCTGTGTTGCAAGCAAAGAAAAGGGAATACCTACGTTCTTTAGGATAATAGAATAGAATCGAATAATAAGTAAAGGTGGACCTGGGTTCACTTGTAGCCTCCTAGTAGCGCCAAATGGCGTGCTTTTGACTGCAATAATAACGTTAGTAGTGTCTACAACTATTGAAAATAGGAAATAGACTATAGCAGACAACGAGCTCCGCGTGACCCTGACACAACTCAGGTTTGGATATTGTAGCAGGTTAAACTCCTACCTATCGAGACTAGACCTCAGCATACCCAACGTATGCTCTGCATGTGGAGAGTCTCCGCATGACACTAACCACCTCTTCACATGCCCCCTCAAAGTAACTCATCTAGCCCCCCTCTCCCTTTGGTCCAACCCCGTCGAAACAGCTCGTTTCCTGGACCTACCATTAGATGACCTCGGCGACTTAGACCGATCAAACCTGTGCCTAAGCGGGGTTAGTGAACCGCTACAACAACAACAACAACTATCGAAAATAAGATCAGAAAACGTCACTAAAGAACACTAGGAGATTTGACGGAATCAGGCAGAACATCTCTTAGGTTTTAGATGAAAAGAGGCTTAAATCATAACGAGATTAACAAAATCCAATGTTCGACGTGAGGCGTAAGCAATAAAAGACCCCTTCAATTCCGTTTCTTATAATGATAGAATAAACCACTCTTTTCGCCTCGAAAGCCAATGTTGGATCTCCTAACATAAATAGCGATGGCCGTAAATGAGTAGTTAGCAGTGCGTAAAATCAGGCGGGATGTAATAAGTTCGAATCCTCACTCGTTCAAGACCCAAAATTACAGATAATTAACTTTCAATTATTTTGCGTTCGTCCCTCGACAGGGAATATCAACTCCTCCTTAAATAAAAAGGAAAAGCTACGGATAAAAATCCATCAAACGTACGGAGGTGGCTTAAAATAAACTGTAGATCCCTTCATTTGTTGGAAAAACACTTAGTGGGAGCAAGAGCTTGGCCGAAAATCGCTTCGGTGGTTGTAAAGCACCAATTATTGTATAACAGTGAAAGCATAACAAACCGCAAAATTTTATTATTATTATTACTTTTTTTTTCGTGAGCGATAAATGCCGTGATAATAAGCGTAAAACACTTAACGAATACTGAAACTACAAGATTCCTTTTCGCCCATTTAATTTGTGCACATGCAAAGGACATAGCCCTAAGAGTTTAAGCGCAATTGAAGCAATTTAGGAAATTCCTTGGGGAATTCGTTAGCGGCTCTGTTGCACACACATGTGTCTGGACAACTTGTTTAGAAATGTACATAACTACATACGTATTTTCATAAATACTTTCGAAGTCAACGTGAGGTTTGCAGGTAGACGCGTCATTAACACTGAAAGAGCAGATTTTTTTCCTCAGTATTTAGGGGTTGTAAATATGTAATCAGACATGCTTATATACATGTAATGGCTTTGCAAAAATTATATATGTATATTTTTAAGTTCCAATTATTTTTGCTTTAAAGTGTGGTTAAATTTAGCAAAGTTCGTACTAAAGTTCGTTAATAAGTAGACAAATAGCAGAAGAATAATAGATGTTGTATATGTATGTAAAGGGTGAACAGCTGGTGCGATGAGGACTGCCGTGTCGCAGTGGAGAGAAAATAGACTGTTTACCTCGCAACGTTGCGATCAACCACAACACGTCCGGGATGGGATTGATACCGAGAAATGAAGAGGGAAGCAAGACGCAACAGCAGACAAAAAAAGGAAGAGGCCGCGATGCGTGAGTATGAAGAGCT